CATAGGGGGGCTCCACCGAAGGCCTCAGTGACGGTGCCCAAATTCGTCCACGTCACCAATTTCGGCTTATTCCTTACACGGCTCGTGGCCTTATAGGTAGCTCCACCGAAGGCCCCATTGGCGGTGCCCACATGCGTCCCCTTCACCCATTTCGGCACACCCCTCACACGTTTCGCGGCCCCACATGGGTACATAGGGAACTCCACCGAAAGCCCCAGTGGCGATGCCCACATGTGTCCGCACCACCCATGCCGGCACACCCCTCACACGTTTCGTGGCCACATAGGGGGCTCCACCGAAGTCCCCCGTGGCGGTGCCCACATGCGCCCGCGCCATGCCGGCACACGCCTCACACGTTTCGTAGCCCTATCGGGAGCTCCACCTGAGATCCAGTGGCGCAGTTTGCATGCGTCCCCGCCGCTCATTTTGGCACACTTCTCATGCGTTTCGCGACCCAGGCTTGCGATCGCCGCCGCCGCCGCCGCCGCCCCCGCCTTAGTACTCCGGCACACCCTTCACACGATGCGTGGTCCCACAAGGAGCGCCACCGAAGTCGATGCTCACATTTGCGGTGCCCGCAACTGCATATGGTTGGGTCCTTCGCCAGGCTAATTTTCAATTGATGTGTCCCCCATCGAGGCTCGCACCCTTTTTTTTATCAGGGGAAGTCTTCCTGCTCGAACTGTGTCGTTGGCACCCAGCTGCAACAGCAACGGTTCCCGCCTGATATTTCCTCATAAGTTATTCCGGCATCGTGCTCTCGCTTGGGAGGTTCTCACATTTTTTCCAGGAATCGCGCTCTCGCGTAGGATTTCCACACCATCTATCGAAACGCCCAGCCCTCGACACTCAGGATTTGTTTTCGCGATGTACTTGGGAATCGCGTTGTCGTTCGAGACTTCCCCACGACCCGTGCATGGCACACGCTTCAGCAACCCGCCTGCTCGACCTGACCGGGCGGGCCCGCCTTCCAGACCCGCCCGCCAGGGTCTGGGCTCCCGATCCCCCGGTGTGGTTCTACCACGTGTTTTCATCTCCTCGTCCCCCTTTTGCTAATTTCTTTCGTGCTTCATCCTTCTCCCTCTCCCTTCCATCCGTCCTCTCTTCCGTTGTTTCAGGGTTGCACTACAGTGCATGCGCGTGGCAGGTAGGGAAGATCTACTCCCAAGGGGCACGATCGAAAACGAAGAGAGCGGGTACCGAGGGTTTGGGATATGCGTGTTGAATGAAACGCGAGCAGATAGGAGCGGACAGGTTCAAAATGGTTGTTCTTGTTGTTGAAATCTCACGTTTGAACATTAGTTATTTCTGATCCCCCCACCGGTGCACATTGTGCGTTTTCAGTTGAAATGCCCCCTCGAGGCTCGCACCATGTTTTTTTTTATCAGGGGAAGTCTTCCTGCCCACACTGTGTTGCTGGCCCCCCGGCTACAGTAGCAACAACGGCTCCCGCCTGATAATTTTCCACCCTCGCAATGTATTTTAAAATCGCGCTCTCGCGCGCGGGACTTTTTCACACTTCAGGAATCTCGCTCTCGGGTGGGATTTCTTCTCTATTTTCTCAAGCGCCGCGCCCTCGACACTCAAGAATCATGCTCTCGCTTTTGCTTCTCTCACGGCTTACTTAGGAATCGCGTTTTTGTTCGAGAGTTCTTCGCGATTCATGCGGACTCACGCTTCAGCGACCCGCCTGCTCGACCTGGCCGCTCGGGCCCGCCTTCCAGACCCGCCCCTTAGGGTCTACCCGCCCGATCTGCCCGTCTGGTTCTGCCACGTGTTTTCCGCTCCATCCTGCTCCCTCCCCCTTCCATCCGCGCCATCGGCACTCAGGATTCACGCTCTCGCTGTGGAGTTCCTAACGATTTACTCGGAAATCGCGCCATCGCTCGAAACCCATGACCTTGCGATTCATGCAGGACGCACGCTTCAGCAACCCGCCTGATCGACCTGGCCGCCTGGGCCCGCCTTTCCGACCCGCCCGTTAGGGTCTACCCGCCCGATCTGCCCGTCTGGTTCTGGCATTGTTTTGTTTCTAGTCCCCATCCTGCTACTACTCTCTCTCTCTCTCTCTCTCGTACTCCATCAGAGTGAGGAGGCCGAACGGTCATTCTGTGTCCCTGGGTGCGTGGCTGAAGTGGAATTCCGCGATGCGGAATCTTGTTGTTGTTGTTGTTTGTTGTTTGTTTGTTTGTTTGGCGTCGTCCCCCCCGTGGCCCGCCTCGCGACCCACCCGCGACCCACCCCGCGACCCACCCCCCGACCCACCCCACGACCCACCCGCGACCCACCCCGCGACCCACCCACGACCCACCCGCGACCCACTCCGCGACCCCGCGCCCGCGACCCACTTCACGCCCCGCTGCGTGACCCACCTGCGACCGACCCGCGACCCACCCCGCGACCCACCCGCGATCCACCCACGATCCACCCCGCGCACATTGCAATTTCAAACATCGGCGCCTGCGGCGGGCGGTTTTGCATTCGCTCGCGACCCCCGACCCGCGACCCACCCCGCGACACACCCGCGACCCACCGCGACCACCCCGCGCACGTTGCAATTTCAAAATCGGCGCCTGCGGCGGGCTGTTTTGCGTTTGTTCACGGCCCCCGACCCGCGACCCACCCCGCGACCGACCCCGCGATCCACAGCGACCACCCCGCGCACATTGCAATTTCAAAATCGGCGCCTTCGGCGGGCTGTTTACGCGTTTGCTCACGACCCCTGACCGACCATCCGCGACCCACCCGTGATCATACGCGACCACCCCGCGCACGTTGCAATTTCAAATTCGGCGCCTGCGGCGGGCTGTTTTGCGGTTGCTCACGACCCCCGACCCGCGACCGACCCCGCGACCCACCGCGACCACCCCGCGCACGTTGCAATTTCAAATCGGCGCGCAAGGCGGGCTGGTTTGTTTTCGCTAGCCCCCGACCCGCGACCGACCCCGCGACCATCCGCGACCATCTGGAGGAGAAGGAGGAGGAGGGCGGTTGAGGGAGGAGGGAGGGAAAGGGGGATGGGGGGACTAGGGTAAGGACGAGGAGGAAGAGGAGCAGAGGGACTAGGATGAGGAAGAGGAGGAGGAGGAGGAGGAGGAAGAGGAGGAGGAGGAGGAGGAGGAACGCCAGCGACAAAGAAAGTGAGGGCCACGAAATCCGCAAGCTCGATTCCCGCAACGCCCGCGCCCGCCCCCTCACTCTTATCCGCAATTGCGGGGTGCTACGGTATTTCTCCCTCCTTGTTGTCCCTCCCCCTCTTCCATCCGTCCTCTCTTCCCTTGCCGTAGGGGCTACACGAAATACAGGTTGCAGATAAGACGTGTGTATATATATACACAATCAAGGAAGTACGATCGAAAACTAAGAGGGCGGGTATCGAGGGGGTGGGACATATGTGTTGACTGGCCCGCGACCAGACAAACATGCAAGCCGTCCTATACTATGATTGTTGATGGTGTTGTTGTCGTTGGTGTTGGTGGCGGCGGTGGTGTTATTATTGTTGTTGTTGTGGCTGCTGATGTTGATGTTGCTGTTGCTAGTGTTGTTGTTGTTGGTGTTGTCGTTGTTGGTGTTGTTGTGGCTATGGTTGTTATTATTGCTGTTGATGTTGTTGTCTTTGGTGTTACTGTTGTTGTTGTTGTTGGTTGAGTGGTTTTGTTGTTGCTGTTGTGTTTGTTGTTGTCGTTGTTGTTGCGGTTGTTGGTCGTTGTTGTTGCTGCTGTTGTTGTTGTCGTCGTTGTTGTTGTTGCTGTTGTTGTTGTTGTTGTTGCTGTTGTTGTTGTTGTTGAAGATTATCACTTCTAAAGAATAATTATTGTTGGGACCCCTGGTGCACGACCCCCCCGCCGCGCCTAGGCCGCAGCCACATTTTCATCATTTTCGTGAGGAAGTCTCAGGCAAAACGGGTTGGTCCGGATCCGGTTGTTTTGTTACGGCCCGTTTTCCCTTGCAAAAAATAAGCTAAAGTGGACATTTCTTGTTCTAACATAACCAAACTTCAAGAATCCCTTGCAAAAAATAAGGTAAAGTGGACATTCGCGCGCGCAAGACGAAATCCTTCCAAAACCTTAGTTTTCGTAGCGATTTTAACATAAAAACATCAAAAAACCAATGGTTTTTCAACAAAAAAATGTCAAAATTTCATCCCGCGCGCTCTTGCGGATTCGTAGGAAACCCAACACTTTTTAAACATTTCTGTCAAACGGGCTTTTGCGAGCAACTTTTTCGAACTTCTGCAACAACGGTTGCGCACCTGCCAGGGCCATCATTTTCAAATCGAATACGCATGCGGGACACATTCGTCGTTTTTCTTCGCGCGCGCACGCCGTCGTCGTCGGCCGCGGGGCCCTGAATAGTAGCCACGGTCGTCCGCATGCCACGAAGTGAAGTGTCCGAACGTCATAGGGCGGGAAGCTGGGTGTGGGTGGTGGCGAAGAGTCGTTTGGAAATTTGGTAGAGCTTGAACCGGCCCCCCCACAAAGTGGGGGTATTGCCCGCCTCCTATGAAAACCCTGGCACTGGTGAGAACGGAGTGTCCCCACGTGCTAGTAATTGTTGTTGTTGTTGTTGTTGTTGTTGTTGTTGTTGTTGCTGTTGTTGTTGTTGTTATGTGTCGTCGTCCTCGCTCGCGACCTACTCCGCGACCCACCCCGCGACTCACCTGCGACCCATCCGCACTGCTTTGACGAAAACTCGGCGCCCGCGGCGGGCTCCTCAAGAACCTCGAGGACTGCCGACCTTCCCGCTGCCCCCTCACTCTTATACGCAGTTGCGGGGGCTGTGAGGTACAGGGTCCGGCTTGAACAAGGAACACTTACTTTTCAGAAGGGGCTCGGTCGTTCCTTCGGTCTGCGTGCGTTCCGCTGCCTTGTTGGCGGCGAGCCCCCCTGGTGTTCCTTCGGACCTCCTAGGTTTACTTGAGAAAAAAAGGGGGTCCGTTCCTCATTTATCGTTCCTTAGGTCAGGCCGAATGCTGTACAGATTCTGCCGCCCCGCGAGAGGTGCGGGCGTCGCTGGGGCGGGACCTGGACAAGTCGCAGCAGTGCTCCGACTGGTCGCTGCGGCCCCTCAGCGAGGCGCAGCGGCACTACGCCGCCCTCGACGCGCACGCGCTCCTGCAGCTCTTCGCGTCGTGCGCGTGCGAGGGGGCGGTGCTGGAGGCGCCGGCGGAGCTGCTGCCCGAGGCCGAGGGCGTGCGCGAGAGCCTGGGCGCGCTGCGCGCCCGGCCTGGACCGCCGAGGCGCTCCTGCTGAAAGGTGCCGGCAGTTTGCGTTGTGCGGCCCTCGCTTCGGCATCCGAGGCCCATCCCTTCGATGCTCGTTTCGGGGACCTTCCTGGAGCCCACCTAACGGATCTGTTCGACCCCAGTTCGACTCAAGTTCGACTCAAGTTCGACTCAAGTTCGACTCAAGTTCGACTCAGGTTCGACTCAGGTTCGACTCAGGCTTGCGTGGTGCGGCCCTCGCTTCGGCATCCGATACGCATCCCCGCTGGGCCGCGGCAGCACAGCCAACGACGACGAAGGCAGCGACGACGAAGGGCCGGGATCTAGATCTAGAAGTGTGGCTGGCGCTGGGGCGAGAGCGCCATTCTGACCGGCATGGGCAGAGCGCCGATCCCGAAACGACTTCAGCGTGGCAGCTGGAGCTGAGGGATCAGGGGGAGTACAGTCGACCCACATAGTAAGGATGAGCAACTTTCCAACGTTACCCTTGCATCCTTCCCCTTCGACCCATCCTTGGCCGCTTTCGCTGGCCGCGCCCCGCGCGCAAAATGTCGACATGGCCTTCCAAGGCCCTTGCATCCTTACCGCGCATCCTTGTTATACGGCCCCACCCGGTCACCAGGTCACCACCAGATCACCACGGGAGATTCGAATGGAGCAGACGATGTCCCCAAACAGGGCGGGTGCAAGTCGTCCAGTGGGGCCAAAGCCGTGCCAGAGGGTGGGGTTGGTTCAATGATGTTCGCTGATAAACCTCGGGAGGGTGTTGCGCGTTGCTCAGCCTCGGGAGGCAGCTGCAGAGGCATCTAGAGACCTCTGGTGACCCGAAGATGAGAAAGAGCGCGTTCTGTGGTCGCTTGGAGGGGGGTGGGGTTTGGAACCGGGCCCCCCGTGAAACGCGCTCTCTCGAAGATGAGGAAACACATAAGCATTGCTTTCGTAGGTTCGTACGTTTTGTCCAGTGCCAGTCCACGAAATCCGCGCGGACCTCAGAAAGTCGTTGCTCATGTTGCTCGAGTCTTCTGGATTCCTGAGGGGACCTAGTTACCTGTAGGAGGCAACGCCTATTTGGTGGGGGCATTGGGTTCTGAATATTCCAGCCTTCCCAAAGTCCCAAACGTTTCGCGGGGCCATCTCAGAGTGAGGGGGCCGACCAGTCTGACGCTGTCCTTGGGTGCTTGGCTGAAGTGGGGTTCCGCGGCGCGGCTTCTTGTCCATCTGTTCCATCTACCTGCGGCAAGTCCCGCCACCGTGCCAGCCAAGCATCTTCGGCGGCGATTGTTCGAGGGGGCACGGGCGGCCGTCGCGTGTGACACCTCGTGTCTCCAGGCTTGGTTTGGACGTGGTGAGGATGATGAGGATTCTGAGGATTATGGTGACTATGGTGAAGATGATGATGACGATGATGATGATGATGATGATGAGGTTGATGATGATGATGCTGCTGATGATGATCATGAAGATAATGATGATAATAATTATGATGATGTTGATCATGATGATTAGTTTGATGATGATGGTGTTTGGCGGTGATGATGATGATGATGATGAGGAAGGTGATGTTGATGGTGATGGTAATTATGGTGGTGGTGATGGTGATCATGAGAATGTTGATGGCGATGCTGATCTGATTGTGATGATGCTGATGACGATGATGATGATGGTGGTGGTGATGGTGATACTGGTGCTGGTGATGGTGTTGGTGATGGTGCTGCTGCTGATGATGCTGTTGATGATGATGTCGGTGATAGTGATGGTGGTGGTGATATTGAAGGGGAGGAGGCTGATCATGATGATGATGATGATATGGTGATGGTGATGATCCTGGTGGTGAGTATGATGCTGGTGATGGTGATGGTGATGATGATGATAATGATGATGATGATGATGATGATGGTGATGAGGAGTGGCTGAGGAAGACGTTGTTGTTAATGATGAATGTGATGGTGATATCGATGACGATGATGATGGTGCTTATGATGAAGACGAGGATAAATACTATGTTGAGGATGATGATGATGTTGCTGATGATCATGATGCTGATGGTGGTGATGGTGATGATGATTTGTGATTGTGGTGATAATGCTGATGTTGATGGTGGTGTTGGTGATGGTGATGTTGATGATGATGATGATGATGATGATGATGATGATGATGATGATGGTGATGATGATGATGATCATGATCATGATCAGGACCAGGACTAGGACCAGGATCATGATCATGATCACGATGATGGCGCGGGGAGGAGGAGGAGCAGAAGGAGGAGGAGAAGGAGGAGGAGGAAGAGGAACGTCGTCACACGTGACACCTCCCGTCTGCATTCTTCGAGGAGTTGACAGGGAACTCGTTAGGGCCGTATTGGGTCTGTCATGGCCTCCTATGAGGCAGTCTTTGGGGTCCCTTCGGGCCCTCTTGGGCCGTCTTGGGGCTCTCTTGGTTGGAACGTGTTCGGGTCCTCTTGGCTGTGTAGTGGGTGTCTGGGGGCCGTCGTGGGGACCTTTTTGTATCCTAAGGCCGTTTTGGGTCCTACGGGAGGCCCGCGTTGGTCATCTTGGGGCCGTCGTTGGTTCCTCTTGGGCCATCGTGGGGGCTCCTTGTACGGTCTGGGAGCAATCGCGGAGGCTGCTCGGGCCGTCTTGAGCTGAGGGGAGCCCGACATAGCGAGGATGCGAACACCATTCAAACAAACCCAGAGGACATCAATCATGCTGGCCGCCTCTTCGGATCCTGTTGGAACCTGTGGTGGCACTTTACTGCCATCTTGGATGCATCATGGGCCGTCTTGAGGGCATATTCTAGACGCTTCGCGTGACCCCGCCAGCCCATGCAGAAACGATGCCCAAACGATTTGCCCTGATCAGGGATGTGGAGGATCATGCAGTGTTATGAAGTGTTGGGTAAGACGTCCTACCCCAAGAATGGGAGGATGGAGGAGGAATCGGAGGAGCAGGAGGAGGATGAAGAGTAGGGACCGGGGGAGGTGGAGGAGGGATGAGCAAGGTGGAGGAACAGGCGGATGAGGACGAGTAGGAGGAGGAGGAGGAGGGGGACGACGACGAGCGGAAAGGCCAAACGCTTCTTAGATGCTTCCTGGGGTCTCTTCGGACTTCTTCCGAGAGCTCCTCGGAGTCCTCTTAGGATGTCTTGGGGGTCTCTTGGCAGTCCTGGGGGGGGGCCTTTTTGGGGCGTCTTGGGTTCTCTTGGAGGTTGCTCGGGAGCCCCTTGGGGGCACCGTGGGGGGCCTCTTGGGGGGCCTCTTCAAGCCTCCCGGACACCTCTCGGGGCCGTCTGGGGGCACCCTTTGGCAGACTCGGGGGCCATGTTGGCGCCATCTTGGAGGAGATCGATCATAAGAGGGGCCGTAGTATATTAGGGTCCCCCTATCCAGGAGGCAAGATGTGGCCAAAACCTCATTACAATCAATGGTTGTGGGCGCTCTAACCCCTCGCACCCCCCCCGCGCCAGGTCCAGGGGGAACGGGTACTGGGAGGGGTTAAGCTACCCACCCGCCCGCAAGCCGTCTTGCTCACTCCCGCCCGCACTCCCAACACATAAGTAACACCCAGTTGTCAGCATATCAGGTAAGAACGCCGCAGACCCCACGGGTTCCAGATGCACCAGACACCCTGGAGGCCCAAGCGTGCCAGGCGCGCCAGGTGCGGCACGTGCTCCACGTGCGCCCAGTGTTCCACGTGCTCCAGCCGCGCCATGTGCGCCAGCCACTGGGAACCAATAGGGGCTCCACCTGCGACGCTGCAAGCGTTGCTATGCCAGCAATTTCGCATGCCCCAGCGCATGCTTGTGGCTGCGGGCCACCGCGCGCGTGGGGCGTTCTTGGGGCTGGTTCGGAAGCCTTATGGGCCTGGCTTGGAACTCTCTTGGCAAATTTTGAAGTCATTTGGAAGCTTCGACAGCCCATTGGACATGCAAAGGTGAGACGGTAGCAGCCATTGAGTTGTCAAAGCAGTCGGTCGATCACCTGCGCCCAGAAGGCAGGTGGGATCGGCTGGCGCCTCCGCCGTCCCTGTAACATACCCATACAAAGTGGTCGCGGGGCGGCCGCGCATGCTCCAAATGCGAAAGCCGAGTGTGTTTTGTTTTGTTTTTGTTGACAGGGGTTTGGGGGTTGTGTGATAATGGGGTCGGCGTTGTTCCGGGTTGGCTGCCGGCCAGGTGGAGGAGGGGGTGTATGTTAATAGGGGACAGTGATAAGATTCCCCCGAAGGGGCATAAGGGGGCTTACAGAGGAAATTGGCTAAACCACTCACGCTCTAAAGGGTCGGTGGGATTGGGCCGCCTTGGGGCCATCCTGGGCCGTCTCCGAGTCATCTTGGACTATCTTGGTGTCCTTGTGTCCTTGGTTTCTTGGGTGGTCGTTCTTGGAAGCTCGGGGCGCGTATCCATGGTTCTTAACGAGGGATAGGGGCCTCGGGGGCGCGGCCACATCGCCTATACAAGGGATCGTGGTCTCGGGAAGGAGGGCGGTGCATCCGGTGAGGCGTTGGTAGGGAGCGGGCGGTGTCTCTTATTAGAATGCAGAAGCCCTCCCCTGTAACGCCCCTCGCGGGGGCAGACACCACCTTGTTCAAATTATGATTTGGAATGTTGTGGTTTCTGCTGCTTTCCCTTTCGCGTCCTTCCCCAGCCTCCTCCCTGTTTCTTTCGTCCCGAATGCTTTCTTCTCTTGCTGTTTTCTCTGTGTTGATGTGCCCCTCCGAATCCTCTTGTTCCCGTAGTATTCCGCTTGCCCTTGTTCCTGCTCTTGATCCCTTGATCCTTATCATTGATTTCCTTCTCTTCCTCTTCCTCTTCCTTCCTCCTCACCCTCCGTTACCACTCTGGCTCAAGCCGCTGGGTCGCGCTTGAGTGGGCAGCCTCTCTCAAAGGGGCCATCCCAGGTGTCATGCCTGGGTGGACACTTACTGTACTCTCCCTGCCGCCATGCCGCTCTCTCCTCAGGATATGACCGCCATGGGCCAGGTGGTCGGCCCCCAGCTTCAGCCGCTGGGGACCGACTTGGCGGGCGTCAGGGGGCAGGCCAAGGCCATGGACGAGAAATTCGAAGCCCAAATCGCCGAGTTCAAGCTAAAACACGCGAGTATGAAGGCGGAGTTGGACCAGGCAAGGAAGATATACTGGACTGGCGCTCGCGGCACACCTACGCCTGGCACTTCGACTCCATCTTTGGACGATGGCCGACCAGATCCTTCCATCCCGACGCTTGTGACAGTCGCCGAGCTGGAGGCCAAGATGATCGCTATGGATAATGCGCTCAAGTACAGCCTCGCTTCCTCGCGTACCCCTTCATCGCGGACGACATCTTCGGATCCGTGGAGCTCTTTCGTCGGGCAGCCCAAGACCAAGAACAACCGTGGCTGGGAAGTTGTTCCTGGTGTCGCCCTTGCAGGACCTCCGAGCCCGCGTGGTGGGGACGGCGGTGTGAACGACATGTGCAAGATGTGGGTTAGAGGTTTCCCGCGTAAGCTGCTATCGAGGGCTCCCCAGTTGCAGTTTGAACTTCTGCGCGCTGCTGTTCCTGGGTTTTTAGTTGGAGCTTGCGCCCAGCGTCAGAGCTACAAGCTATGCTACAATGCCAAGTTCGAGCACAAGGATGCCGTTCGCGTTTTTTTTCGCATCGGGCAAGGACAGTGGCTTCAGTCCCAACCTTCTGTGGCGCGACCCGAAGACGTGGGAGGACGCTCAGTTGCGACTCGGGTTTGACCAACCGCTGCGCAGCCGCCACAGATCATACTCCTTGGGCCGATGCTGGGAGTCTATGCGTGCTGCATTGCTCCAGAACCAGGCGTGGAAGGATTCTTCCTCGCTGGGTGCCAACCGCCGCGCCAGGTTCTTGCATTTAGCGCGCAGTGACAGCGAGGAGATACATGACTTTGCGAGGCCCGCTCCCGGCGATGAGATGGGCGTCGGGCGCGAGGCTTTCACACTCACCAGGCTTGAGGACGCGAAGAGCATCGGCCCCCCGACCGAGCTCGCCAACGCATTTCCCGAGCTGATCCGGGGCAAGTTGCGCTCCAAGCGCGGTTGGCATCTACCACCTGCTATACTAGAGTGTCAAGGAGCAGCTCGGGGCATTTTGCCTGCGCTCTCCTTTGAAGCTTATGCATCCATCTCCACGGCCTCCGTTTCGACTCTCTCGGCAGATTCTACGTCTTCCTCTGCCTCGTCAGCTCCTCCTCCTGCGTCTAATTCTATTGGAAACAGGACAGCTGGGCCCTCTGAGAATGAAGGCGTCGGGCCTGCGCTTGGCATTCACAGTGGGGTGAAGCAGTTATATTTGTCCTCTCCTCCTCTGCTTTCGCCTAACTCCTGAATGCTCCTCCAGCCTTTGCACGTCGCGGGCAATGTAAGTTTTGCATGCTGGAGTTCAGCTACTCTAGATGGAAGCACGTTGGATGATCGCACCCGTCAGCGCAAGAAACGCGCGTGCGCTTGTCGTCTCTTCGGGCTGTATACGATAGGTCTCGCGCAAGATTCGCGGGTGCATGGCCGACCTCAGGAATCACATGTCGAACGTATAACAGTTTTTGTCCACGTAGGTTCCAGCTGTGCTGATCATCGCGCAGGGGTCGTGTAATTAGCGTTGCCAAGTCTTTCCTACGATCCTTTTACTCTATCCGCGTTGATGTCGTGCGAGAAGGGCGGCGTATTGCCTTGCATGTGAGCGGCCCTGGCGGGGCTCTGCCTACTGGGAACACCCATATTGCGCACGACTTGGGAAGTACTGAAGCCAGGCTCGCATGCCGTAAACTAGCCCGGTCTTCTCCCCGGCAGCATCGCGCCCTCTGCATTGCAGGCGGCGGCTGGAACTTCCGCGACCAGGGCGAGACTCGTCGCTGCATGAAAGGGGGGCCCGACGACGGGCGATGACCATGCCCTGCTTGGTCGTGTCACCGCTCTCTTCAAGCAGTATGTCGAGATTGGGCAGATTGAGCTGACGCGTCGCACAGCGCGGATCGTCGAAGTCACGCCTCAGCTGCATTCCAATGCTCGGCTCGGCCGTCTGCGCGCGAATGCGCCGACTGCTGAAGATCTGTACCCCTGGCACGCGCGTGCTGGAGCGAACGGAAATGCCCGCGATCCCACGCCCTCGTCGGATCACGCGCATGCGTTGGCACAGATAGCCTGCAATGCTTCGCGCGCGCCTCGTGTTTCGCAGCGGCGTGCCCGACGCCATGACTTTCCCGTTTTTTTAAGACCAGATGTTCGACCGGGTTGATGTCGCCCCCAACCCCTACCATGCCATATAATATTTCAAGATCACGATGCACGCAGTGGCATGGGTCCTCGAACATCAGTTGTTCAAGTTCGGGCCACTTCGCGGAACGTTTCCCAGGACATCGCCGCCCCCCAGAAAGTTCGCGCGCGCGGCCCGCATTCGCCGTAGATATATCTTGGGGCAGCGCGTGGATGCGATGCCCATTTTGGGTGGGTGCCATACCGCGGAGCAAATGTGGACAATCCAAGATGGCGCCACGACGGCCTGAGATCCCCCGCAGAGCCTTAACTATCTAGGCCTAGATGCTTTGCCCAACATCAGGGGGAGATCTCTGTCCAGCCCCCCCGGCGAAGCCCCCGGGATTTGCGGCGAGGGATCCACCTTATTCCTGGCTGGCGATCTGCCCCGGGAGTTGGGGACATAACGCGCGCGCGCGCGACCCGGCCGCAGTTCGGCGGGGGGGCAGATGCGCGGAGAACAAACGCACGGCGGCGCGGCCCCTGCAGCTGGGCGGGAGCGCGGGACAGTGAAGCGCAAACGCAGCGTAGTGCGGCGCAAGCAGATCAGCTGCGCGGGGACGTGACGCCCCGAACCCGACTCGACCCCCGAACATTAGTTTGGATCGGGTAGCGAGCGGCCCCGCGCATCAGTTGGGACGCGGAGCCTGCAACAGCATGCACGTCGACGTATGCGGCGAATCGTAGCCCAGCGTCGACCCCGATCGCGAGAGTTTATCTGCCTATCTTGCGCTATCCTCCTTTTGCTCACCCTTTACCTCCCCGTGTGCTACTCCCAAGGAATCAGCCGACGACGTCGCGCGCCGCACAGCCCGCGCGCGCGGACTACCAAACCACAGAAGCGCGTCTCTCTGTAACCGGCTGGTGCCGTCAGGCGCCAGATCGGAACCTATCGGAAAGGCTTCGCCCTCCTCCTGAGCTGGTCACGCGCCCAGACAGCCCAAAAAGACCCCAGCTGTCCCCAAGAGGAAGGACCCCGACAGCCCCCATGAGGCCCCCAAGATGCCCGAAGACAACCCCAGACGGCCCCGACTGCCCCCGGGGTAGGCTCAGAGGGTCACGATGACGTCACCCCTTCTTCGACATCCTCTTCTTCGGGCTCTTTACCGTCCTCCTTCATTGCCCTCCTCCTCCGCTGCGTTCCTCCTCGCGCCCGTCCTCCTCCAACTCTTCCTCTTCGTCCTTGCTTTTGTTGTCGTGCTCGTTGTCCTCCTGCTCCCCTCGCTGCCCTCCGAGCCATCCGCGCTGTCATCCTCGTCATCCGCCGCGTCTTCATCATCCTCCTTGCCCCGCCCCCCGCCTCGCGCCCCGCCCGCGAGACGCCGCTCGCCGACCCCCCGCGCGTCGCCCGACGCGCTGACTGTTGATCCGCGCCCCCCCGATCTTCTCCGCTAGTGCTGAGCTCTCGGTGCGCGTCCCCCTCCCCGCCCGCACGGGCCCTGGAACCTGCGGCGAGCTCATGGGGCCTGGAGCCCCTGACTTTCCACCGACGCTCGCCGCGAAAGGAGCTTCGAAACGCATTACATCGCCGCCCACCCCCTGTCGGCGGAAACGTGTCAAGGTCCGGCCCCGGCAGTGATACTCCTCCCCCAGAAGCCCACAGCGCGGGATCCCACCAACATCATAATACTACCAACACGACCACCCTTCGGGTGAGAGGGAGGTTGTTGGGGGGGAGGGGGGGAACCAACATCTGACCCAATCGATCTCACTATCGATTTCATTCAACGGGAAACCACAGGACACCAACCACGGGACACCAATGGACACTTGTCGATCTCTTTACCGATCTCATGATCGATTTCACTCAACGGGACACCACGGGGCACCACGCGCCACCCCGCCACGGGAAACGGGACACCGCGGGACACCTCTCGATCTCACTAGTGGTCTCACTATCGATCTCACAATCGATCTCACTCAACGGGACATCATAGGACACCAGGGGACACTTCGGGACACCACATCGTTCTCACTATCGATCTCACTATCGATCTCACTCAACGGGGCACCATGGGACACCTCGGGATCGGGACACCTGTCGTTCTAACTATCGATCTCACGTTTTGGGACACCACAGGCACCTCTGGACACCCTATCAATCTCCTTATCGATCTCACTGTCAATCTCACTCAACGGGACACCACGGGACACCTGTCGATCTCACTGTTGATCTAACTATCGATCTCACTCTTTGGGACACCACGGGACACCACGGGACACATCGGGGCACCACATCGATCTCAGTATCGATCTCACTATCGATCTCACTCAACGGGAAACCATCGGACACTTCGGGCCACCGCCGGACGGACGGACGCTCGGGGGAGAATCATTTGTCTTGATTTCGCCCTAGCAACGGCGGACACCACGGGACACAACGAGACACCACGGGACACCGCAGGGTACCGCTAGGGCCACCGCCGGACGGACGGACGGACGGACGGACGGACGGACGGGAGATAATCATTTGTCTTGACTTCGCCCTAGCAACGGCGGACACCACGGGACACCACGGGACACCGGTAGGGCCACCGCTAGGGCCACCGCCGGACGGACGGACGGACGGACGGACGGACGGGGGAGAATCATTTGTTTTGATTTCGCCCTAGCAACGACGGGTTCAGTCCTCTCACGCGCCCACGCAGTTTCGCCTCGCCCGCACGCACGACGCGAACGAAACGAAACGATTTCCCGGTTGGGGGTCTCCGTTCGACTGCGATCTCACCCCCCCACCTCCGACTTCAACAAGACCCCAATCGGATCCCAATCTGATGTTTGCAGGACTCCTACCGGATGCCTGAGGTTCCTGAGGATGCTTGAGGATTCTTGAGAATTCCGTCGGGTTCCTGAGGATTCTTGTGGATTCCCAGGGATTCGTAAAGATTGTCAGGGTATCCTGGAAGTTTCTGGAAGGCTTGTGGGGGATTCCTCAAAGATGTCTGTCGATAGCTGGAGGATGCGCTATGACTCCTGAAGGATTCATGCAGATCCCAGCCGTATTCTTGAAGGGTTCCTGAGGATCCCGGAAGGTTTTTGGAGGATTCCATGACGATTTTCCTGACCCTTGAAGATTCTTGAGAATTCCAGAGTGGTCCCTGAAGGTTTCTTGTCGATTCTTGCGGTTACTTGACAAATTCCTGAAAGATTCCTGAAGATTCCTGAGAATTCGCTGCCCCCCCAGAAACTGATTCGGGTGCTAGCGAAGTCTCTCTAAGCGGTTTCCGGCCCCGTTCTCCCAGGATTGAATTTGGGGGGATCGACAATTGTTTGTAGCGGCTCGTGAGGAGGGGGGGCTTGGGACGGGCGTACCGCTGCAGCCTCAGCGACGCGAGTTGGATCGACTCTGTTCCTCGTCTTCCCTTCTCCTATTTTTCCTCCCTCACGCCTCCGTCCTCTCGCCTCCGTCCTCCCCTCCCCGTCATCCTGCTGTTCCTCCTCCTCCTCCTCATCCTCCTCCCCGCGTCCACGTCCGCACCCCCCTCCCTCCTCGTCCAGCCTTTCCCCCTCCCTGCTAGTTTTCCCCTCCTGCTCCTGCCCCCGCTCTGCCCTTTCCGCTCCCTCCGCCTCCCCAATCTCATGATCTGCAGCATCGCCGTCGTCGCCACGCCTCCTCCGTCCAGCCGATTCGGCGCAAGGGGTGAAATTCGAGGAGTGGGTCTCTGATCTGCAACTGCCACCCCAGACTTCTATCCTCCGATCTGCCTCGTCCTGTCCGCACACTCCAGGGCTCCCGGGATAGTTCTTCGTTCCGCGATCCTCGCTCGAGGGCCCCATGGAGCAGCGGCCCCTGGCAGCCGAGAGGAGGGAAACATGCCGCGATGGACACGAGCGCATGGTTGGAGGCCTGGGTCTGGTGAGGCCTCGGGTGGCGCACAAGCAGCCCCCCCCCCCCCCCCCCCAGGAAGTCCTGGCTTGCCTCAGCCAGGCCCCCGAGCAGCCCCCGTTTGCCTCCACGGGCTCCCCGAGCAGCCCCAGGGCGGCCTCGACACCTCGACGCTGGGGCGCGGAGGGCCCCAGGGGGCGCCGCCGGAGGCGACGCCGGGCTGTCGAGACCGCCGTTTGAGCTTGTTTTTTTTTTATTCAGGCAAGTTTACTTGCATGGCGTTCGCCCCCCCCCCCCCCCCCCCCCTCGCCCCTCTTCAAGCGAATACTAGCGTGCAAGTGCCTTTCGACTTGCGTGATTTCCGCGCCCCCCCGAACGTGCAAGTCGTTTGCGGCTTGCTTCAGGCTCAGCCCCCCCCCCCCCCGGTCCATGCAAGTAAACTTGCCAGAGTCTAAAAAACAGGCTCTTGGCCAGTCGTGGGGCATGTGGAGGTCAGCACGGGCTACACGGGAGCCTGCTCGGGCCAGCCAGGGGTTCTCGGGGGGGCTGCTTGCGCGCCACCCGAGTCATCCCTGGGATCCGACGTTGCACAAAGAAGGCAGCATGGCAGCAAAACCACCACCCCGAGTCCCATCTTTCTGCCGCAGTCCTCGAGCTGGATCGACCCGTGGTGGTCCAGGGGCCCGAGCCAGGGCCAGATCGCCCGTGAGGAAGCGAGTGCGACGCCAGGATCCCCGGCTGCGCATCTCTGTGCCTCCCGGAGCCATGCTCAGCAAGCCCGTGGCCTTCCTCTCCGCGGGCACCCCCGCTGTGCCCGCGGCCTCGCGGCCGCTCGCCGCGCCCCTGCAGCGGTCCGGCGCGGCTGCGCCGGCGTCCGCGGCGGGGGCCGGCCTGCCGCTGGCCGCGGCGGCGGCGGCCGGGGTGGCCGGCGCGTGCCTGGGCTGCTCGGGGAGCCGCCGCAGGCCCAGGATGCCCCGAGGGGGGGCAGGGTGCCCCGACGTGCCCGCGTCTGGAAGGAGGCAGGGCGATAAGGAGGTGTGTGTGTGTGTGACGGTCGTTTTTGGGCCCTCCGGGGGCCCCTCGCCGGGCCTCAGGATGGTCAAAAGCGATGGATCAGGGATGAGGAGCCGGCCCGGTGGGAAGGGCCAGCTGACTTCCAGGGGCCGCGCATTGAGGAAAGCCTCAAGGCATCGCACGTCTGGGTTGTCAGGTCTGGCGATAAGCCGGGTCGTCGGGCCCGCCCGCCCCGCCCCGCCCCAAACCCGGACAGCCTGACCTTGTGGCTTGCACAAGTTAGACAGGGTAATCACGAAGCGTTGGCCGCCCCCCAGTCTCCACACCTGATGACCCTGGCGGACCGAGATGCAAGATCGAGATCGGTGTGGGGAGGGTACATGGATGATCTTCGTGCTTGTTGTATGTTCCTGTGCATCAGGGGGGAGGGCGCCCGCGAATCGATTCGGGGGGAAAACCGGCCTGGGGCGGGGTGAAACAACCAGGACGTCGCATGTGTGGGAAGGCCCCCGATGCTGGCGTACTGCAGGACGCCCGGCCCGGGTTCAGGCCCCCGGGCCTGCACATATCGGCCCGGCTCGAAGAACGGCCCAGAAATGTGGACTTTCGGGATCTGGCTGGAGTAGGGGATCGACTGGTTACAGACTGGATTCACCCAAAAATTCATTTCCACGGCAAATCCATGAAGGAATGCGTAGAATGCTCGTAGATCTACGAAGGTTCTCCACGTTTCGAAAAAAGATGGGGTAAATCAATTATGTAGTCGATCTCCGGTTCGCCTGGTGCTGATGTTTCACGATGCTGTACTTTTGCCCGCGACGTCGGGCGTCAGGGGAGGCCCCAGGCCGCCTCACGCTGCGACAAAACAGACACGATGGGCCCAGGCCCCCGAGCTCATAACTTGCGCCATGACGCCGACACCCAGCGGTCTCGACCCATTCACCAGGACCGGTTGTTCGTACTGAGTCGTTGTTTGGACGGCCCCGAGGACCGGTAAGGGCCCCCAGAGGAAGAAAACAGCGAAGGACCTCCCACCTCGTGATTTTCTCATAACTCGAAGGTGTCTGGGGGGGGGCGCTACCTCATTTTCGGCCCCCGGGGGCCCCCACTGGGCCCTGGGACGGTCCAAGAACGACTCGTGCATGAAAAACCGGTCCCTGAGAAGAGGTCCAGACCTCTCGGAAGCCACGCTGCGGGAAATATCACACCGCCGGATGTTTGGGAATACTGCTACCGCCACCCCTTGACTCGCTGTCGTCCCCATGCGATGCATTCGTCGCACGGCTGGATTCGCCTCGGCATCCTGGGTCTTGCTCCTCTCGCTCCGCCTCGCGGTCTCGGCGGATCGCGGCACTTGGCCTTCGTGGGCCGTGCCGCCCAGGCCGCCTCTCTCCTCACCTCCTCCCCTGATGCGGATGCGATGAGGAGCGCCATCTTATCCCACGCGGACCACGGCGCCTCGTCCTCTGAGGCGCGAGGCCGCGGCCCGGCAGCCTGTCTGCCCGTGCCGCTTGGGCGCCGCGTAATGGGGGGGTCATAAATGGAGGGGGGGCGAGGGTGGTTCGAAAAGGTACCCAAACGGTACCTAAACGAGCCCCCTGGTGCTCTGGAGGGGCCCGAAAGGGGCTCGAAAGGGGACCGTTTCTGACCCCCCATTTACGACCCCCCCATTAAGTCCAGCCCGAGCCGCCTGCCCCCCACGTGCTCTGGCGCTCGCCGCCCAGACCGCGCGCGTCGCGAGCCACGGGCCCGCCTCGAAGGTCCTGGCCCCGCACTGGAGGGGGGGCCTGGGCCCTGCCACTGCACAGCACTCGTGCGCCAATGGCGCCCTGGAGGATGAGGAGGAGGAGGAGGAGGAGGAGGAGGAGGAGGAGGAGGAGGAGCAGCAGGAGCAGGAGGAGGAGGAGGTGGAGGAGGAGGAGGAGGAGGAGGGCGCCAACGGCGCCCGTGTCTTCTCTCCGCCTCGGCAGGCGACCGCTCCTCAGCCTCGCGAGGCTCCTCCCTGCGCGTTGGCCCTCTGCCTGCACGGCGGGGTGAGCCACCCTGCGCCTCGAGCCTCGGAGGCCCCTCGCGGCTGCCACGCCTCTCCTTCTCAGACCATGGGTCAGGTCCGCGGTCTGCCATGCTGCTGGCCACGCCCTGGGCCATGTCCCTCGCCTCCCACGGGGAGCCCTGGAACGCGTCGCTGTTCCAGCGCTCTTCACGCTGCACTAGCGCCGTGTCCTTGAACGCCGCGTACAGCGCGGGTACTCCACCGATCCGCAGGCTGTGGGAGCCGAGGTCGTTCGGGCCTACCCCCTTTGCCACAGCCGACTGCATCACCACGTGCTGGACGCTTGCTCGCGTCACGAGCCTGGTGTCGTCGTAGGCGAAGAGTGGGTTGTACATCCTCGTCCCTGAGAACGTCTCGCGCGCCCTCGTAGATCGTCAGAGCATCCACGACGCATATGTGCCCCTTCTCCGCTGATTCTGCCGTCGCCTCCACCCTGAAAAATTGTTGCGCCACTCACCGCGAGTATACTGATCGGTGTTGCTGGCCCGAATCTTGATGACGACCTCGTTCGCCTCGGGCCAGTTCCTGCACGGTTCGCCCGCCGCCTTCGGCGTGACGTCGTCCCCTCGCAAACCTTTGCCGCTCGTGTAGACGTTCTGGTCCCCGGATACTTACTCGCTGGCCCTCACCAGGGAGAAGTAGCCCGTTGCCACCGCCGCCCAGAGAGCCGCGCTCTCGCGAGACCTTTTCGGCTGCAGTTCTTCCAGATCCACCGCACCATCTTGGGGGTGACCGGCTTCTTCCGCTTGGCTTCCTGTCGGGCCTCCTGAGGCCATCGATCGCCATCCAGAGTCCAGAGCTCCCCGCGCCCGCCGCCAAGTCGCCCATGCCGAGGGCCAGGTGCTGGGCACAGTCCGCACTCAGGTATTGTTTGACAGCGCCCGCCTTCTTGCACCCGCGCCTGGACAAGTGAGCGACAAACTCCAGCAGCAGCTCCTCCTACTCCCTCTGATTCGTGAGCGTGACCTCCCGTGGCGGGCTGCTGCCACGCGCGCGGCAGAAGAGAGACCACCACCGCGAGTCCAAGCTGTACGACTTGATGGTGGAGCTTGCCAGCTTGTCCAGAATGAGATCCAGCCGAGTCCTCGCATGTCTTTAGGTCTGTGAGGAACAGCTCGTGGGGCGTGGCCTTCTGCGAGGTGGTTTCTGCCTTGCGCTCCTCCGTCTCGCGCGGCATTGGTGCCGCCAGGGCCCAGACAAGCCATCCTCCCCTCCGATCAGGGTAGCCCCAGGTCCTGACCAGCTTGTCCAGCTGCTCTCGCGCTTCCACCTGCTCCAGGCATCCGCTCCTCCTGCTATCATCCGCCTCGCGGCCGCCATGCCCGCTGTCGTCCGTCTTTCAGTCGATCCTCTGGGCGAACAGCCTCAAGTGCGCCCGGATGCCCTTTGCTCCTGCACCGGCGCCGCCTGAGCCCCTGGCGTCGCTGAGGTAGCGCGTCACAGCCTCCGGGTCGATGTTGTCGCCGCCCTCTGGCTCGCCGCGCTGGTCCTCGCCTCCCCCCGAGGCGGACCCGCGCCCCGGCGTGGCGGGCTGCGGGGCCCTCCTCTGCCTGGCCTCCCGCCTCCTGGGCTCCTCGGCCGCCTGCGCTCTCAACCCTGGTGGCCCCTGCGCGCACTGCTGCCATCCTGGCTGCCTCCTCCGCAGGCTGCGCGCCGCCCGCGCGCCCCCCGTCGCCCCGGGCTCTGCTCCGGCCCTCTCCTGCGGCATCGGGAGAGGCGCGCGCCCAGCTGTCATCGGAAGGGTCCCTCGCTCGCGCCGGGGGCGCGGCGGCGCCGAGCGGGCGGTCCGCTCTTGGGCGGGGGCTCGCCCGCCCTCGTCCGGGGATCAAGAGCGTGACGCCCTGGGCCTCGACTCCCGCTGGCCGGAGGGCGGGGCCTGGACGGCGGCTGCGGCGCTGCTGCCGGCTGCCTGGCGCTCCGGAACCCTGCTCGCCAGGCCCCGGCACTTGCGCCCCAGGGCTGCGCGCTCTTGGCGCCCCGGCCCGTCATCCTCTGACTCGGGCTCCTCCTCGATGACCGACGCCACCCTCCTCGCCCTCAGCCTGGCACGGGGCTCCGCTGAGGCCGGGCGTGCTGCTCTCCTGCGCGCCCGCTCCTTGGTCGCCGTCGCCTCTGCCTGCACGCCCCGCGCCTCCTCGCGCGCGCGTCTCGGGCGAAGGCGGTGGGTGCTCCTCGCTGGCGGCTCGGCGTCGCTGGAAGACGGCTCCTGGCCCGGCCTTATAGGGCCGACGCCATCACGGCGACCTCCGCAGCGGCTGCCCGTGGAGGCGCCTCCTTCTGCTGCTGCTTCTTCCTCCCGCGCGCGCCCCCGCCGCCCAACTGGCGCGGCGGCCCGCGCCCTGCCCGCCCGCAACTTTCTCGCAGTGGGAGTAGTGGTTGATGCCTCCCTCCGCCCAGTTTTCGCCAGCCTTCCTGCCTGCGCCCTTGTTGCAGCAGTAGCCTGGCTTCCAAATCGAGGCGGGGGGGCGCTGTGCGCCAGGCGCGGGCAGCCAGGCAGAAGGCGCGGCTTGAGTTCGCGCCTCTGCGGCTCCTGGGCGGGGCTCTGCCCTGCGCCCGCGGGGGGGCCGCCCCGTTGGCGGGCGCTGCCGTCGAGTGCGCGGCGCCAGCCAGCGTCTCCTGCGGCCCCCGGGCCGTCGCCTTCTCGGCCCTCGCTCTCCTCGGGGGCGTCGTGGGCGCTCGGAGCCATGCGGCTGCCCAGGCTCCCCAGTTGTCGTCGTTTTCCGTGGCTCCCGCGCGCCGCCCCCCCACCCCTGGCCCCCCCCCCTCCAGCTGGCGGCGGGGGGCCCTCGCTCCGCGCGCGTCTGTCGGCGGCGCTTGGGTGCCTCGGCACGGGGCTGCCGCCTGGCACCCCTTGTCGCCTCTCCGCCTCTCGCTCCGCACACGTAGGGCCGTGCCTCTGGC